AAGGAAATGGTCACCAACTAAAGAAGCTCTTGATTTTAAACAAATTCTCCTTGTCAGTACCAAAAAGGAAAGTATAGAGAACAGTTTGGAGAATATGAAGTATCATTGATTACCTGGAAATTGACATGAGCCTCTACCAACACCCATGGTAAAATTGGGGCTAATTTGCCTATTCTTTTGATATTTTGAGGCAGTACGTGTTGTTGTTGTTTCTTTCCATTGAAAATTTTTGTTTTTGAGGTTAGTTTGGTCTTACTTTTCGGAGTACTTATATGAAACTGTCCACTGGCCTTCAATCTTTCTGATGTGCATTTCTTGAGAAGATTTGTGTTGTTTTTGTGTGAATATGTGACCTTCTCTGCAACTATTGCATGTACAATTATCCCCCTACTCCCCCTGGGAAGGTTAATCTATGGCAAGCAAACAGGTTAGTGGAAGATCAATGGTAAAATCACCAATACTTGACAATATTTTTAGTAGAAATCTGCTTTGGAGTGACTTTCTTCTTCTTTGAGAGTAACCATGGAGAGTTTTGGCTACAGCTTATAATTCTAATCGAAAGTCTTTACTTTTTTAGGAGTAATTTCTCATCAAACAATTTAAAAGAAGCAGAGGCTAAGAAAGCTGCTGCCTTGTTAGCTGTGGAGGATTTGCGAGTCGCAGTTGTGAGAGGAAATACTGCTGCTGTTCAAAAATATCTGGACAATGGTGAGATGCAGTTATGGCTTATTTCTGTGGTAGTTGTAAAGAATATCTCTTCCCTTTGATCATATTCATTCTAGATACCATTCTGCAGCTCTTGAGGCTAAATGGCTTTGTTTGTTTTTTTTTTCTGAAAATAGGAATTGATGTAGATGTTCAGCTCAAATCAGGATGGACTCCATTGATGCTAGCTGCTAGTTTAGCCTTGCCAGATATGGTGGAACTTCTTGCTAATAAAGGGGCTAATGTAAACTTCCAGAAAGGTAATAACAGTTCGGTTGGTGAAAGTTTCTTAGTTAACCCTTTACACTCTAACATTGGTATCCATATTCTCCATACTGTTCTGTATACATTTCCTAAGGTGCTGACAAGGAGAATTTGTTAAACAATCACAAGCTTTAATTAAGGTAATAGTCAATATTAACATTGAAAAAAAACTAATCACAGCAGAGCATCATGCTTTATGAGATCATGCATAACCGGTCAACTTCATCACCTGAAGAAGACTAGCAGTATGCAGGCAAAACGTCGTGATCTACATCACATGTGACTACATCGTGAGACAAATGAAAAACTTAGCTTTTAGTGTTATTCACCATGATGATTAACCACAACCTTTTCTACGAAATCACAAGCTTTTTTACTTGATGATCATTTCCTTTATTCCTATGACCTGAATATGTGAATCAGAGGTGATGTTGTGAGGAGAAATTAGATGCTTGTCACTCTTAGGGGTTAAAGGGTTAAGGTCACGGAATCATTTGCCAGTCCAAGCTAGTATGCATTGAACATGTGGTACACATATTGCTGACCTGCAATGGATTCTCCTGGTCAGCACATCAGGAAATGTGTAGAGAACAGAATGGAGAATATGCATACTGATGTTAGGTTGTGCAGGCTTATTAACATTTTCCTTTCATGCTTGTATTCAGAGATGTACACTGTTCTGATGGCAGTATGTGCTGTTCCTGGGAACAAGCCAGAGGACCAGGTCCTGACATGTGTGGAGTTGTTGGTGGAAAGGAATGCCAGAGTCAATGTATATGACAAGTAAGTGGGCTTATCAAACTCCAGTATCTTCTCTCATTATATGACTGGCAGTGCTGTGTTTGGTCAAGATACTGGTTATTGCCTTGTTCTTTTTTTTTTGTGTGTGTGTGTTTTTATGGAGCATGCCTTTGTCTTGGCCCATAGAAGTGCAAAAAAAATAACTCGGCCAATATCCAGCCATCTTGACTTTCTGCTTGGTTAATAAGGCATATATAATACTTTGAAAAAAGCTACTAAATGTAGGCATGAGGTGAGCAGAAAGATGTGGAATTTTTTATTAAACTAGATTTCGAATGTCGCCCCTGATGTATGCTGCAAGGGAAGGAAGAGTTACAGTCTGTGAAGTACTACTGGATCATGACGCAGAGATTAACAAACAGGACATGCGAGGCTGGACGGTGAGTTGCCGTTAAAGAGGATTTCATGAGCTCCAGAAACATAATTTGGTATTGGTATCTTGGAAGATAGCTAAACCTCTTTAAACCATGCTGAATGTCAATTCTTTTGTTTTTCAGTCCTTGTCATGGGCTGCTAATCGAGGTCATGGTAGAGTTGTGCGCATTTTATTGGAGCATGGAGCAGACCCTAAGATATACTCTAATGATGGCCAGGTACCAAGTGATCTTGCCTACTCCAGTGAGCATCATCGGGTTAGTAACCAGAAGTTTTTTCATGAAATCTGCTTAAAGATTCCATTTTTTAAACCAATCATTACAATCAGATGAAGAATGATGACACATGCTTGACGCACACACAGAAATGTCTCGCATTTATCAGGTTGCAGATATGCTTTCTTTAGCTGCAAGTGGGAAGCAGCTGCCCAGTGAAGTGGCTCCACAACCAGTAGCATCTTCAAAGTAAGGACACTCTGTTAGCTTCTTTCACAGGAAATAAATTAATTGGTTTTTGTGTTTTACTATGAAGCATTAAGCCTGGAATAGGAGTAATCTTGAAAATGTTTAACAGTGTTACACAGCGTAACTCTTTTTGGTTCATCCCCAGGGATTGCTGAAAAAGAATTTATCCTTACATTATCAATACCCTTAGAAGCACTGTGTTGATGGCATAATTGAACTTATAATTATAATAATTATTACAGTCAAACATGTATTAAGCCATCACTCACTAGGAATGTCTTGGTGACTGACCACCAAATACTGATTAACCACTTTATACAGGTTCCACAGAATAGGGGTATTATAATGAAAGGATGAAAATGTCGTTTTATGCCATTATTGACCACTTTATGAACATCTGCTTAATGCAGGGTGCCTGCCTAATTATGGTGCTGCGTAAGACAGGTTTAACTGAAGTTCTTGAACTGTAGGGCAAATTATGGATGGAAGTACTGTGTTGTGTTAACTACATGTAGTTCTTAAGCCTTATTATTGTTTTTTTTTATCTTTTTGCAGAGTTCATGTAAGCGAGGATAGCTCCAGGTAATTGCCAAATATTTAGTAGTTTAAAAGGCTATTTTCAGTAATGTTTGCCACAATTGATGTTTTCTCTAATTGATGTAATTGTTGTAGAATTATGGTTAGAAACTTTTTTAAAGTATGATTGGATGGAAAAACAACTTAAAAGAAAAAAAAAATCTTAAAAATCTAATTATGGTAAAAATAAAAATTTGGGAATTTTTTCTCAGTGCGTGTCATTTGCCCAATGTTTTGTACATTTGGTATATGCCCTGTATTCTTCCTGAAAGCAGCTCCATGGAATGCCTTTTGATTAATAATGGTAATAGGACCAAGTGGAGTCCAATGCTGTCTCTTATCATATGAGTGATTAACAAAATCAGATGAATGCAAAGTGGGAGTCCAATTTTTTAATCACAAGTATGATTACAGACAGAATTGGATGACACGAAGTCCTGTTACCAATTAATCAAAACTATGAAAAAATTTGAGAAAGAAACTAGACATTGGTTGCACGTTTTCATAAAAATATCAACACTTAACTTGGCAAAATATGAGACAACAGCACATGCTCATGACGTGTTCTGTCCACTTACATAGGCATGACACATGAACTGTCCTATTTCGCTGTCCAATTACAAGCATGACATGATTGTACACTGTCTTATTAGTGCTCAAATCAGGCTAGTGATGACCAATCACATTTGAGAAGTTTGTTTTAGTTTTGATCAATGAAATATAAGTGTCATGGTGATCTTGTTTCATTTGATTGCAGTTCAATGAGGTATAATGACCTTGAAATGTTCTTGTGTGGCCTGGAGTTGACACATTTATTGCCAGTATTTCAGGTAAAAATAATACTCTGTCTGTCTGTCTGTCTGTCAATCAGTCTGGTTGTTGGTTAGTTGCATGTTATCCATCATTTCAATGTTTAGGAAGTTTGTTGTTTGACTGACAGAGGGACTGACATACTTATTGTTGTTGTTTTTTTTTAATGTTGTATGTAAATTAGTATGTGTGTGACAAACAACAGGAACCATGTAAAATATGCACCGTGATTCTGAGGGTTATTTTCATAAAATTAAGTGTGTATTATACATGCCAGGTAAATATGGTACTGAATCAATCTACTGGTCTGCTGCAGTCTGTACATCACTGTGTCAGTCAATCAGTCAGTTGGTCAGTCAGTCAGTCTATCGCTCCTTTATTCCATCAGTCTGTCTATGGGTCAATCAGTTGATCAGTCAGTTAGTCAGCAGTTACTTTTACAGTCCAACATTGCATCAGTCTTTCAGTCCATTAGTTCTTTGGTCCGTCAGTTCCTTCTGTCAATGAGCCATCCTCAGTGATTTTTGTCAGTCTGTCCCTCTACTCACAAAACATTTATCAAGCAGATAAATCCCTCATACATCCATGGCCACTCCTTAGTCATTGGGTCAGTTAGCTGGCTGACAGTCCTGTCTGAATTAAATTCCTTTTGTTTAGGAACACAAGATGACTTTTGAGGAATTCCTTAATCTGACTGAAAAGGAGCTTGACCAGGTGTGAATGGGCTGTATACATGTAGAATATAAATTATTTAAAATACTAATGCATTGATCATGATTGGAAAAATATTGCATCATTTTTTTCCATTTGTTTCTACCCCAAATATCTCTGTTGGTTTTCCTAACAGGGAATAACTGTTCTGGGTAGAGAGAATCTCTGCCAGAATAACCTGTCTTGCCAAAGTACAAGGCAAAGGTGCTACTTAAAACTCAAACCTGTTCGTCTTGTTTTTGACTCTGGCATTCCTTGCTACTATGTCTATTAGAGTAACACACTAAGATTGATTTTTAAATAAGTGGGGAAAATCTGAGATTGTTTTGGTGTTGCTTCACTTTTTCCTGTGATTGACTTCAAGGAGTTGCATCATCACTGCAAACAACAAAAGCAAAACAAAAACCAATTGCAACTTATTTATCCCATGTTAATGTTTTTGCATTGTATCATGGGTTCCTTGTAATATTTCCTTTGATCTGACTGGCTGCTGTGATCACTTTGCTTTTTGTTTTGCAATCCTTGATGGAGATGCTGTCTGTTTGGATTTGTCAAAAGTTGAACCACTATTTTTTATTTTGCTTGTAATAGATGGGAATTACTCAAGTGGGTGTGCGAACAAAGATATTAGATTCCATAAGAGAAGTTCACAAGAAGGAGTGGGATGTGTCCAGCTTACAGTCAAAGGAAAAACATATTTTAAGGTGGAATCTTCTTTTCTGTTCTGACATTTAGGAGTAAGTGTGTCATCTTGGTGAGGCCTGTCAAATCATAAATTGTTTACCTTTTCAATCTTATAGTGCCTCAGAAGTGACAGTCATTTTGGCCAATGTGTCAAGACATTTGGCATTTGTCAGGAGCAGTGTTTCATATGTACAGAAACACTTAAATACCATAAAAGAACCTCTGGAATTTGTGCAGGTATAATTAAGTGTAGTGTAAGTAGGTGTAATCATTGACCACAATGTTTTTTTCCAAAGTCTTTTGGATGATTGGAAGTTTATTTTGGGGAACCAGAAGTGGTACCAGTAGAACATGCCTTTGTCACCTGAAGAGTGCCCTTTTTTTCTTTGAGTTTCTATGTCTTTTTAATTATCCTTTATAATTGTTAGTTGGCACAGATTAGGAACTCAAACCATGACAAACATCACTTTGGACTTGCAAAAGGTTCCTTAAGATTAAGTTGCACTCTCCTCAGAAATGCAATTGAAGTGTCATTGATAACAACTCAGCAAAATGTTACACTTGCAAGAGTGTATGTATGAATTCTTAGTTTTCCTGTCATTTTCAGGATGTTACAGAAGCTGAGGGAATGGAAATGTACTCTAAGGAGGCTGTGGACACTGTTGAAAGTTTAAATGAAGAACTCAACACTGTGAAGACAAGAATTTCCAAGGTATGTGATGGATAACTTTATGATTATGTTAGGAGTCTTTGGCACCCCTTATTCCGTGTAATGTAAGTTGCAGAATATTGTTCAAAATATTTTATCTTCCAACATACAGAGTCATTTAGAGTCATTTTTTTGCCATTGGCAGATCAAGTGTAAGGTGTTCAACACAAGTCCAGACCTGATAACTGATGAGAAACCACAAGGAACCCAATCTTCTCTAAGAAGTGGCTCTTTACTTGTGGCAGGAGTGGCAATTGTTGCACTGGGTGCATTTTTGTTTCACAAGGCACAGCATTCGACATAAAGTTCAGTACATTGATGACTCAACATCATGGTGTATTGTACAGGCTGTTGCTATCTTTTATTGCTCTGCTTCATTTTGATCAAGTGGCTGGTTCCACCTCAACTTTCTTGTATGTGGAGATTCACACAGTTCACCAGTAGAATGTTACTTAACCCTTTAACTCCCAAGATCTAATTGTGAATTCTCCCCTGTAGCTGCTACACATCTCCTTGTAAATTAGTTTTGAGAACTTGGTGCCGGATCAAGATAGCAGCTTCTACCAGATAAGTTTGAATATTCTCATTACCTGTTTGCTGAAGAATGTATGGATATTCTAGGGAGAAGTTTCATGTTAATCACTTCTGGGAGTTAGAGGGTTAATGTCTTGTTCTGTCAACCCTTTACACCTTAACATCAGTATCCATCTTCTCCATAATTTCCTTTTATATTAACAAGGAGAATTAATTTAACAATCAAAGCAAAGTTGGTGATCATTTCCTTTATTCTCTTAACAAATGATTCAGCAGTATTACTGTGAGGAGGAATTAGATGCAAGTCACTCTTAGGGTTTAAAGAAGAATTAGGCTCCAGATCATTGAATTTTTGTCTCTTTGATCAAAAACTATATTTGAATATTTATTTCATACTGTGCTTCAAGATCACCAAACTACTTAAAAATTATCACCACTCCCTTTCACATTTCCCATTAAAGTATTAATTATTACTGTTACAAGAGAGTTGGGTGATCTGGATTGTCTTTAACTCAAAGTGTTAGAGAATAACTATTCCTGTTTTGCAACTGTAAATAAATGCAGATAAGGAAGAAACTTCAGTGAACAAGCTTCCCTCTGATTTGGTTCTCATACAATCTTGAAAATTTTCTTTCTGGGAAACCTCCATAACTTCACAAGCCCTTTAGAAACAGCTGTTTGAAGGGATCATCCCTAAATTTTCCTTGTCACTCTAAAGATGCTTTTAATATTTGTATATACATTTCTTGTTCTTCAAATTATGCATGAAATATTGTTGCTTAATTATTAAAATGACAACAGTTTTTTGTTTATTAAGTTGGTACAGACAAAAATTAGGAATAAATGAGAATGATTATTCCTTTGTAATATAAATTTACAGAAAGTTGGGAAAAATTACAAGTAATTCTTCGTTTCAGTGGCTAGTTGTGTAACTTTTTTGTGTGTATTAATTACATTTGCAGCATTTGAGAATATGATTCAGAATCATTGTAAGATTTAGAGTCATTTTAGGAATGCAATTCAGAAAGGCATTTGTTCTTTTGGGGTGCAATTTTGGAAATCAATAAGTTATTAGACATTACTGTTTGGGAAGGCAGTTGGGTTAGCACCATAGTTCAGATGCTGTTATAACCACACTCTGAATGGACTAAAAAATATCAGATTTCATGCCTATTGGTCCAGCTCTGCATCTTAGAAAGATGGCAGTGAGGCTGGATATTGCATGTTTTTGATCACAATATTTACAAAATTATTTGCTGAGCAACTGCTTTCAGAATAATCTTTTCTTTTAAAAATATACTTTGTCAAATTCATTTAAGTATAGTTTTAGATCTTCTAATAATAATAAAATCAAAATTGGAAAAAAATTTGTTAGGATTTGGGTAACAGTTTCACACCAATTTTTAACAATTTTTTAAAACATTTTGGTGGCAAATTCATAGTGCTTATTTGCTTATTTTGTCAAAGGGTTGAGTTCAAATTTGAAGGACTTATCTTAGATGTGAATGCTCAGTCCAGAAATTGACACTCTTTTTGATTTACTCCCCATCATGTTGTAGTTCAGTTTCATGACACCAGTCACTAAACCTTCCTTATGCAGCCATACTGGCTCACCAGCGATAAATGTAGCATGCACATTGAGGTCTTCATCCAGGAAGACTAAGTCTGCATCAGATTTGTAGTTCAAGGTGCCTTTCCTTCGTTCAATCCCCAGCACCTGGGCAGGGTGTAGAGTAGCACCCTCAAGTGCTTCCACTGCGCTGCAGCCTGAAACATTTTGAAAGAAGAGGATTCCTTTAACCTTTCACTCTCAAGATT